TTGGAAGTCATGATATGTATTGCCCAAGCAAAAGGAAAAAAAAAGAGGATGTCCCATCAAGGGAGGGAGGGGGTGGGGAGAATCCAAATAGTATTTTTGTGGGGAAATATCTAATATACCTTCAGTCAACTCTACCCATCAGTCCTGGATTTGAGAGCTCAATGTCTGAAAGTCCGTACATCCTTGTACCTGAACTGCTACGACCTGCACTCCGCCACTCAGATCTGAACACCTGGTCTTCTGCAAGGGGGCAAGGAGTGGTGTGTTCGATTCTGCCCACAGGGCCCGTGCCAAGGCAATCAGATCTTCACGAAAGCAGTATTTTCTGTGTTCTCCTTTTCAGTTACAGCCTTTCTTATTTTGATATTTTTTTTAATGTCCTGGATGAATGCCAACTTTCAGACAGCCCACTTAGCCTGTCCACATGTATCTCGATGCCAATACTCCATTCTTCCTCCCCAGGTATTTTTGGGAGTAAACAAACATTCTCTCATCCTACTTAGCCTCCCTAGATTTCTCATGACGAGTTAATGCATGTCCGTGGTTGGGTGCACCTGTAGTTCTGTTTATTGGTCAGTGGAAATGAAAAAAAAAAGTCTGCGTTCATTGCAGTTGCAGCTTCTCTTCCATTCTGTGTCACAGACACCAACACACCACTCATTGGAAAATGGAAATAATAAAAATAATAAAAAAAAAAACAAAAAAATGTACAATGGATGCATTGAAATTATATGTAATTGTATAAATGGTGCAACAGTAATAAAGTTAAACAATTAAAAAGAAGCAATAAAGACAGTTGGTTTTCCTTTACCACCTCCTCCCCTGGGGTAATTGCCTCTTGAGAACAGAACACCGCATGGGACTTTTTCCTGGAGGAATTTGAGTAGAGGGCTAAGGTGGGATCTCACTTTTTTATAGACAGAATTGGTCTAAAAAGACCAATTATTGTATCTGTGTCAAATCATTTTGGAAGAGGCTAGCCTAAAAACTTACTATGGCCGTAGGTACACACCTTCTAAAAAGAGGGGTATAGTTAATTGTCTTCAAAAAACAGCTATTTGAGGAAAACACCTTGTTGAATAATAGATATGATTTGAAGACTGGGAAGAAGGCAATTATAAGATAATGTAGAAACATCCTGTGTGTCTACATTGTGAAACCTCTACTTACCATGCATGTTCCCTTCTCCCTGTTTTTCATCTTGGTGATGGTCCTATGCAGAGACCAGAGTATAGGGCATAGGTGTGAGAATACGGCAGGGTGGAGGCAGATGGGAACTGGCCTCCATGGGAACAGCATTCCTGTCTTGTTTTTACCACCATTGACTTGGGTGACTTCTAAGTCACCTCTAATCCTCAGACCTTGAAAACCTGTAAGAGAGTATAAATTTATGACCTCCATGGACAGAGCGCCTTAGCTTTGTGTACTTCTGGTGACAGTTTTATATTGTGATGAGCTATGGGCATGTACGGATAGCTGAGGATGTCATACCATCCCCTGGATTTCTTACACATGTCCTTAGTTTCCATGTATTCTGTAGATGAGGAAGGAGTTGGAGAGTTGATGTAAGCAGTGTTTTCATGGAGTGGCCAAACCATAGCAATCAACTCTTTAACATCAGAAAGGAAGAAATTGTCTCAGATCTCTTGGTAGTAGCTTGGTGGTCTTTTTCCAACTGGTTATTATTAAATGAAGTCCAACTATAAACACTTTTAAAGGAACATATCGCTAGCCACTGCCATGATTTTCTTATGCTTGAAGCAGTTAAATGTGTGTGACTTGAATGAGTTACATTTGTGATAATCAGAGTAACAAGCACAATTTCCTAACTTAGCAGGAAGTTTTCTCTAAAATTTGTAAAGATCAATATACTGGAACACTAGAACATACAGTGAACATTAGAGATATAGTGCAGGGGGAACTTTCTGGATTCTCATGTGTTAGATAATATCTGGTTAAAGTAAAAAAAAAAAAAATCTGCCTGAGTGAGCTCTAGTCTGCACCCACTTAAATGTTGCCAGTGAGATGGTAACACCGGGGGAAAAGAAATTGTGAAACTATTAGGCAAATTTACCTGTTGAGCTTAATTCATGTTATGTTCACCTTTTGGTACTTTTGGTTCATGTTTCTATAGTGAAATAAATTTGAATTCTTGATGCTTGAAAGCACAGAGAATAAGAAAAGCATAAACACATTAACTACCAAACAACTATTTTAGGTAAGAAAAACAGAAGAATGTCTACTTTGTCACTGATGTGTCCTAGGATATATAAAATAGCTTGAGGGTGGGAAGGTGGTGGAGGAGATAGCAGATTCATTGAACCATGGAAGGTATTTATGTGGTTTCCAATATTAACTACAATGCACTTCTTGCAGGTAAATGTGTTCAGTGAAGTAATGGTTTATTTTTGCTGTCCTTTGTCCCCTTAATTAAAAAGAAAAAACGCTATGTTCTTTGGTGATTTGAACAGGCAAATCAGGGCCTCCCCCTTGAATTGGTACTTATTGCTATGAGTTACTGTTAAGTGATAAATGAAGAAGTGAGAACTTCTCATTTAATTTAAAGTTGCCAGGTATAGGCATAGGAAGACCTATAACAGGAGAATTAAGATCTGAGCTCATAAACTTTCTTGCTTTATACGTAGTCAAACAAGTAAGAGAATCCGAAATAAGGTGACCACAATATGTAAATCAGAATGTTAACCTAAACCTGGGTCATGACATTAGGTTACGATGTGGTATGAAATGGTGTGCTCAGCAGAAACTTGGCACCTGCGGGGTGTGGGTGGTTGGCTCGGCCAGGAAGGAAAGATGGCATGCGTAGATCCATGTGAATTTTGAACTCAGATTGTTGCCTCCCCTGGATGATCTAAAGGGAAGAGAAGCCAATACATGGATTGTGCTTGAGAGAGGCAGCATTATTCAGGAGCTCACTGAACTGAATACAATATATCTGAATAGTGGAGAGGCTTGGGGCTAACACTTGTTAGCTACTGACACGCACTGCAAGGAGGAAACAAAGATGGAAGTGAACTTGTCCAGGTTAACCCTTTTGTCTTGGCTTGATGGTCTTGTCCAGTGGCCTCTTGGAGATGGGGATGGACACAAGACCCCAAGAATTGGGGTGAACCAAGCACCCGCAGGTAACCCCTCAAGAAGACCATCTTCAGTCTGTTCCTGGTGGTGAAAGCAGAGGTCACACCCTTGACCTTGCTCAGGGATGGAATTGCAATCCCCGTTCTCAGAGCATCTTCCTTTGAGGTTAATGCCCAGGTAGGTCTAGGGTATGTCATGAAGTTGGTCGGCAAACACTTAGTGCTGACAAGTCCTGAACATTCTTTAGCTGCCTGAGTTGGGTAAGTTATTAGGTGCCAGTAGCTGTATGCAGTTTGCTTTCATTAAAGCATCCTAAAATTGTAATTTTAAAGAAAGGAACCATCATGTGATAGTGATACATTATCTCTATTGAAACAGGCATCCACCATATTGATCAATGTCCACCAACTAGAGCTGGCTTTTGGCCACACATCTTGTTTCTTTACAGGTAAAAGACTTTGACATAAAGCAAATTTCATTGATGGGAAAACTCATAAAGTGTGTTTTGGTGTTACCCACTTTCTTGTTTTAGGTTTGCTGAGAGGCATTGCCACCCTTTTGTTCTCTATTTTGCTTTTTGAGAGTAACAACGCAGTTATTTTGAGATTTATTTTTAGGCTGATTTGCACAAAAATGAAATTTTAAGGTTCAGAAGGTAATTTCAAGAAAATGCCATGAACAGTTGTGAGACGAAGCGCACAAGGTTTCACATGCATCCTTCGAAAAGGAGACGAAATTAGCTTGATTTATAACCAGCACTTCTCTTAGTCTGCCAAGTATTTAATATTTTAACTAGCTCAGAGTCTGTGATCAAGATTTTCACAACTTTTTTATGCTTTTTTTTTTTTTGCTTTTTTACAACTTTTTTTTGCTTATGGAAAAAATAGAAAGGACAATGTAGGGAGTTTTCGGTAAAGGTGTAATGTCTTTGCTATAAAAAGCCATTCCTTATGAACCTATGTGCGTCATTTGTTTTTAATGATAAAACATTAATGTATGAAATCTCCAAGTCCAGGAAGTTTAGTTCATTTCATGTTAGGAGCAATTTTTATTCAGAACATGTATGCCCCTGTGCATATACATATATAAATCATCCCAGAGAGAGCATCTTTTTTTTGAAAAAGAGGTATCATTTTTGAAAGAAATGCTCCTAAGTACAACTGTACATATTAAAATAGAAAACTCAAATAACAATACCATATATCTCATATACTTGGCCTTCATTTTTTTAGTGCTCTTTTTTTTTTCTTTTTGCTCTCATTTGTTTTCTTTGAGGGTGGTTTAAAATTTCCCTGAGCTTACCTCCAAGTCCAGGAAAATTCATGCCTCTTACTCATGTATAAATTCACTAGCCTTAGGCCCTCCCTGGTGGCGCAGCGGGTTAAAGCACAGCACTGAGAAGCTAAAGCCACTTCCACATGAGTTCGATCCCCGCCTGCCCCGGAGGTGACCACATGGCGTGGCAGACCTCTCCTGACCCATCCGCTGCTCCCCTCAGCAGTGGACTTCGTTGATCTGCCTGTTCTGCTCCCCACTCTCTGGTGAAGCCTCTCGCCGCCCCTGAGCCTCTGGCCTGTACCCCAGTTCTGTATGCACAAATAAATAAATCTTTAAAAAAAAAATTCACTAGCCTTATATAAGATACCCATCTCTTTTATGTCTGAGTTCCTGTGTTAAATGGTCAAATGACAATGTGATGGAGCCGTATGCAGCAATTTAAAGTCATTTAAGAACATTCATATCTACTTTCTTCACATATGTTTTGCTTATGCAGTCCAGGACTTGAAATTCTAAGAGTAAAATGGTCTCAATAAAAATGCTGCTTTGCAGAATTCTCCTCACCTTTTCCCTATTCTTGAAGCAGTTTTGGTAAGAGCCAAACATCCTTATGTTACAGGATGTAATATAAATTGTGACTGTTGGAACCCATATGAAAATGTAAAAGTAAGCCTGGTTTTTTTTTCAAAACTTACATAAGTAGTCTGATAAGTTAAAAAAAAAAAAAAAAGAAGACCTTAATAACAGTTCCCATCTTAGAAAGCCTTATTAATGAAATCTTCGGGTGTTTCAAGTTATAAATTTATATTCACTATGTTTAACTAGGCACCAAAGGCTCATCTAGAATTAGATAAATTCATCCTTAATGTGGATTTGATTACTTTCTAGAGCCTAGAATCAGAATGTCAGGTCCATCCTGTGATTATGTCCATGGAAAAGGCACCAGCTTCACTGAGAAAAATCTATCTACTGATAGCACACCTTGGTAAATGAAAGAGTGGGCAAGGAAAATGAAACCAACAAATGAAAACCCCCAAAGTCTCCATTCCCTAAAAAGAAAGCAATTCTGTTAACGAAGGGAAGCGCCACACTGCCCAGACTGAG